CTGAAAAACATTTCACAATACAAGCATATTTTATTTATTTTATCAATTATTTTTTATAGATATCTGAAATCTGGTGATGTGACCTTTCCCATTTTATCCACCGCTTTTACAACATAATGTTTTTTTATAAACATCTACGAGGCACAGTGGTGAAACATTAAAGTTACTCAACAGCTTGTTGCTAGTTCACCAGTGAGTTAAATGATGCCATCAACCTAGATGAGCCAGCCTGAAGAGGTTGAGAAGCCTTGACTGTGCCTACATCCTCCAGAATGGTATGTGGTTCTGGATCAGAGTTCAGAGAATATTCCATTGAATATTCTGTCAGACTTACTATCTATTGATATCGATCACGTGTGTATCGTGATACATATAACTGATTTATTGTCCAACTCTACAAGACAGATAGAAACTGTATTTCAGACTCAAGCTCCTGCTAAAATAAATACAATAAACAACAAAAGCTGTACAGATCTGCAAAAATAAACCAATACATAAAGAAACTACATAAAAGTAATAAAGAAAAATCTACCAGTGTCTCCACAACTAAATGGTAAAGTGTAGAGCTTAGGTCTGAAAGTTCTGATTACATTTTTCCCCTAAAATATTTCAGTGGTTGAACAATTCTTAAAATGAAATTTCCATCTTTATAAAAGAGTCAAGTGCATGAACATCATCAGAATGATTTTAGTTTTGATCTCAATTACTTTCATTTAAACAGATAATATAATAAATTGGATTTTCACAAGAGTTGCAACTTACCTCTGTTTAGGTTTAGGTTCAGGTGAAAGGAACCTCCTCTGTCTCTTGTAGGTATCCTGAAAGTTGAGTAAAGTTGAGGAGTTAAAATTTTCAACAAGGCCTTCCTGTTTTGGGGGATTTTTTAAGTTTCTTGTTTTTCAATTTTTCTCATTTTGAATTGCTTTTGTAAATATTGTCAATGTAAAGCTGTAGATCTCCAGCATTAGCATAAGTGTACATGAAAATGCTACGAAAACAGTTTGAAAACTGATGCATATTGTACTTTCATATTTTACTCTTGTCTGTGTATCGACAAAAACAATTTAACGGGAAAGATAGTGAATCACATTATGCATATGTAACGGGTAATAGATACAGATGAAATTCTTGTTAAAATATGTTTTGTAATTACTATGTGATGAATGGTTTTTGGCGCCCCCTACTGGTTGCCTATAAATAGAAAGCTAAACCGTAAATTAGAGCAGTCTGTTCAGCGCTCTACTGTGTATGCGGAGCTGGTGAACCAGTAGTGGAGCTCACTGTGCTAATTTGTGTTGACCATTTATTACAGAAAATTCAACCAACTGGCCTCCTTTGTGTGTATGACGGGACGGGCATAAGGGGAAGCTGTTACACATAACAAAACGTACATACAACAAGCTGTGGAGCTTGTTTTAACCTACTAGCTATTGCTTGTATTAATGCCACAAAATAATTATACATATTAACTTATTGAATTTTTGGAGTACAAACTTCTTATCGCATTCTGACATAAAAACAATCTAATTAACGGACTACTTTAAAAAAACTCTGTTAAATATGCTATAACAAGGTTAGCACGCTTTGACGGTTAACGTGCAGCTAGCTCATGTTGCTAAAACAACGAACGATGTACATAACACGACACGATCAAAAAGCATTCAAAACGAAGGAATCTAAACAAAATCAAAAAAGGTGAGCCTACCTTTTACTGACTCTTAAACGCAGTAGCAAAGGTTGGACCTTGGATTTAAGGTCATATTTAACTGGGAGTAGAGCACGCTGTTATTCTAAGTAGAATTGTATCCAACTGCTCCGGTATCTCATAATTATGACTTTGAATCTCATAATTATGAATTTGAATCTCATAATTATGACTCTGAATCTCATAATTATGACTTTGAATCTCATAATTATGGCTTTGAATTTATGACTTTGAATCTCATAATTCTGACTTTGAATCTCATAATTATGACTTTGAATCTCATAATTATGAATTTGAATTTCATAATTATGACTTTGAATCTCATAATTCTGACTTTGAATCTCATAATTATGACTCTGAATCTCATAATTATGACTGAATCTCATAATTATGACTGAATTTCATAATTATGACTTTGAAACTCATAATTATGACTTTGAATCTCATAATTATGACTTCCTGTTGGTCTTTTTTTTCATGGCGGACATGGGCTTCCACATAAATTACTTTTTTTTTAGCCATATCTTTTTTTTGCTTCCTCCATTTTCAGCTGAATCCTGTTTTTTTTTTTTTTTATCTTCCTGCATAAAATTTTACAGTAAGCAGCTGTTGTGTATTTCATTTAACTGACTGTAACATTAAAATCCAAATAGAGCTAAACTACATTGCATAGCCTCTATGAAAATGATTCGTACAAATGAGTGTTGGCATTAATTCTCATTCGTCTGCAGTTCACCGACTATCAGAGCTACGTTTTCAGAAATTATGACTATGACCACGATGGCTATATATCACAAGAAGACTTTGAGAGTATTGCAGCTAATTTCCCATTTCTGGACTCATTCTGTGTTTTGGATAAAGATCAGTGAGTGTGAAAAATAACTGACACATCTGTCTGCTGTCATAGCAAATCAATTTAACTAATTTATGAACCATTGGTAGATTGTGGAAAACGTGTGGCGATTGGTCTATGCTTTACTTACAGTCTGCAGTAATGCTCAAGGAAGATGGAAGGTTTGCTTTTTAAAAATGAATTGATGATTGGGATTTCATCCCCTCAGTTTGCATTTCCTCATCACCAAACTCAAAGTAATGTTGATTTTGTGGGATTAAACAATTTGTCTGAGACATTCTTCTTTCAGGAAATGGCAAATTTGATGTGTGTTTGCAATCATTTACTAACTGGTAAACTCAGCTGGATTGAAGTTTTATTCATCAGACACAAAGTGACACTTCAACTAGAAACTAGACAGAATGAGAAAGCCCAGAAATCACAAAGGCGCAACCCAATGTACGCACTTTTTATCTAAAAAATCTTTTTATACTGTGGGAGGAAGCCGGAGTACCCGGAGAGAACCCACTCATGCTCATGGAGATCAAGAGGTCTTGGGTTTGAACCCAGGCCAGGATTCAAACCCAAGACCTCTGTTTCGCAAGTTTTTTCACTTTTCATGAAAATGAAAAGTGAAAAAACAAGATGCTACATCTTAAAATCAGGCAGTCAAGATAGTCGACAACATGCCTTCTTACTTCTCTTCACTGCCTTCTTATCATCCCAAATTTCCACAGGTGGTGGGGGAGGTAGAGGTGAAAACCTCCTAATCTTCAAAGCTTCCCCAGCCGGGAAGTTTGTTTTGGAAGAAAACTAAAAGAATCTTTTGGAGTCCAATCTTCTACGGCTCTTTTTGATGGAGGAGAAGCTTTCTGCTCTTTAGGCTTCTCTTTGTTTACATCTTCCACATCGATGTCTTTTACGTCCTCTTTTCTTGAAGATGTCGGCTCTTCCGTCTTTTCCTTGTTTAGTTCAGAGACTCCTGGCTGAGGAGTCTCTTCCACGCCGATGTCTTTTACGTCCTCCTTTGTTGAAGATGTCGGCTCTTCTGGCTTTTCTTTGTTTAGATCAGAGACTCCTGGCTGAGGAGTCTCTTCCACGCCGATGTCTTTTACGTCCTCTTTTGTTGAAGATGTCGGCTCTTCTGGCTTTTCTTTGTTTAGATCAGAGACTCCTGCTGAGGAGTCTCTTCCACATCGATGTCATTTACGTCCTCTTCGCAAACTTCTCCAGCCGGAGAAGTTTGCGTCACAGGTGGGGAAGGGCTAAAAAGATATTTATCAAAATCATCATCATATTCCCCAATCCACAGTTCAGTCAAAGGACTTTCAACTGGGCGATCCTTTCCAGCCGGAGTAGGAGTGAAGAGATAGGCGTTGAACTCATCAGGCCACTCTTCCTGGAAGGGAAGTATGTTTGCTAAGCTCTCTTCTCCAGCCGGAGAAGGATTGAAGAGGAAAGAATCAAATCGTCCAGGTCCTCATCCCTGGGCGAAATCTCAAATTTGATGTGCGGCAGGAAATGATTTACTGTTTTCCTGATGGCTGTGGTGGCCAAATAACCAAGCCCGAAAGATACGGGGAAAAAAAATGTGGCTCCAATCGCATTCAGATCCAAAGACATGGCTAAACAGAATGCAACTGAAAGCTGAGGTTTTGAGATGCAAGTTTTTATAGCCTCAGAGGTTCTTAGATCTATGACATAGAACTATGTCATAGATCTAAGTCATTGATGAGGTCATAGCTACAATGAGCTCACTGTAGTTCTGGACAATGTCTTGCTTCTGATCGTTGCTATAGCAACAGTCAGATCAGTTCTGCATGATTGAAACTATTAACCCTTTGCAACTGCTTGACTTCATCATTGGAGGCGCCATGACGGACGTCGGCAGTGAAGGATGGGAGAACTGAACAGAGTGACTTCAGTTATTTATCCAAGTTGTTTTTACCAGTTTCTTGGTGGCTTCTTCTTGTTGGAGTGGAGATAACTTGTCTGTGAACCTAACAAACCTGATTGGGGATCATAGACGGTGATATTTACAAAAGTTGGAAATTGCTAGCTTCCAAACCGACCCATACTTCCTCCATCCTGATGTGTTCATCAAATTATTGATTTGTCCTGAATTCACACCAATTTATTTATATCACTATGTCATAAATAGAGTTTCCCCTTACACTGGAGCAACATTAAAAACAATCAAAAAATCACCAGAGAGGAGCATTTGAAAGGTCATAAGGTTATTTTATGCAATTGCTTGGCTGCTAGATTGTGGGGATGTGTTGCCTCTATTTTTATGCTGCTTAGATTGTATTGATTCCTGCATTTTCTTTCAGTGTGAAACAAAAATCATACAACTCTGCATTGATCTAAAGAAGCAAAAGAAGCAAGCGGAAAAAAAGACTCCCTGTCCCCAAAACAATGAATATTTCTCAATTTAAAAGCCAAACACATTTGCATCACTGCCATAAACTTTGTCCATGACTAAAAGATTTCCAGCTGAGCTGATGCTCCTGTTTCCTCCTCCTCATCTTCCTCTGCATGTCTTCCTCAGAGACGGATTGATCAGCAAGGATGAGATGGTGGCGTATTTCCTCCGGGCCAACCCTCTGCTCCAGTGTAAGATGGGACCAGGATTCATTCACAACTTTCAGGAGATGACCTATCTGAAGCCAACCTTCTGTGAACATTGTGCTGGATTTGTATGTATTTCAACACAAGTAAATTATGTTTATTGATTCCAAACATGCTGAATGTGTTCAAACATAATGTCATCTTTTACTTTGGAATGACTAAATTACAGAAAACCGGGTTAAAAATGAACAGCTTGTAAAAATGTAAGAAAGGTGGAGCAGGTGATGACAGGTAGGTTCTCTTCTAAGTTCAGATTCTAGCTGTGTTTGTTCACACATGTTGCTTGAAGGGAAGTGTGAACCACCAGAAGGCAGAAGCAGGACCTCTGGCGTCCAGCAGGTGGCAGAGTGAATTACATGCACACAATAATCACTGCAGTTCTGCTCATCAGTGATTCTGTAAAAAGGGCAAAAACTGTGGAGATGAAAGCTGATCATCTTATTAACCGGGTCTGAGGATGGATGGATGGAATCTGTCACATTATGACAAAAGTTTGACATATTTGTGAGTTCTCTGGATCCTACATTAGAGAGTTTTTCATTTTCTCCATAAATGACCAAGAGAAATGTTAAAGTCAAATAAGAATGTAGCTGCAGATTGGAATTTGGGAGCACTACACTTTGTGTAAGAAATTAGATGTTCTTCTGGGCCCCCTGGTGGCCTGTTGGTCCTAAGCAGCTTGCCAGTCCACTTGTGTTTTCTGACACCTGTTCTGGACTCCCAGAGGTTGGCATGAAGCCCAGTAGACTGCTGTGATTGTGTCTGTTTTCTCTCCATTATGTAACATTTCCATCTTTTTCTCCTTCCGTGTGTGCAGCTCTGGGGAATCATCAAGCAGGGATACAAGTGCAAAGGTGCGTCTGCTGCTTTATTCTAAGAGTGACTGTCATGGATATGAATTCACTTTTTTACATTTCCTCTCTTTTTGACACCAAATTTATTAGCAGTAGCTATAATTATTATTCTCTATATATTATTTTTTATTGATGCTGCTTGAATACTGCAGGGATGATTTGAGCCAGGAAATGTGTTTGCCTTGCAGACTGTGGTGTTAACTGTCATAAACAATGTCGGGAACTGCTGGTTCTGGCCTGCAGGAAGCTGATTGGCCCAGGCTCTGTAAGCAGCGGCTCTCCAGCCAGGCTGACCCACAGCTCTCTGCCCAACAGCCCAACGCTGCCCACCTGTAAAGGTTTTCAGATACTGTTACTCATAAGCAATATTCTGGTGTTATCAAGATTGGACTGAATGTTGTCATGAGTTCACCTTTTCATAAGAGTAAATAAATGTAAGTCTGTAGTGGTGTAGTCCATTGTCCTTCATTTTGCCAGATCGGCCGATATTTACATATGAAGCCAATATTATCTACCGATCTGATCAATGAAGGTCTAAAAATCAGCCACTGTCCTCTTTTGCTCTGCCATGAGAGGTTTGACTGTCAGCCCCGCCCACCAGGTCACGTCTGCATGTAATCTATCAGAAAGTAATCTCTTTATGTATATATAAATATTAATGCACTATAACATGAGTTCTCCTGGAGGCTGAGATCTGGGCTATATTTTTTGTTTTTCTGTGGTGATGGCAGTTTTTAGGTTGTTTTCAGGAAAATGCATTTTGACTTTTCACACTCAAAATTGACAGAAATAGACATTTTAGATGTAACGTAATATGATGTGGTAATATCTGAATTACCCTTTTTGAACTGAATTACTGAAATAATTCAAATATTGAGCTACACTTAATATTTTCTTCTATTGCTATTTTATAGTATTGCTATTGAAGCGTCAAACGTCCTTATTAACAGTTAGATCATTCTGAAAGCATGGCAAAGTATGTCATTGAACCAATGAGCGCCTTTGACTGTCTTGTGGCAGATAAGGGTGCAGACGAACTGTTTAGTGGAAAATATGGATGGCAGTAAGAGAAATAACGTTTTGTTCACCTTTGGTTTTCTTAAGGACAGCTGACTTGGCCACAACAATGAAGGCCGGGAGCACAGGACCTCCAGGACCACCAGGACACAGGGAGCAGGAGGTTCTTCTCACTGGGGAAGACCTTGGGATGCTTCAAGTCCCCATTCAGGACTTGAAGTTATCTCACCCTTTCTAGACCCCGGGTAGGCATGTGGCTGCTACCAGGAGAAGCTCAGTGGATCGTGAACGCCTGACGTGAATCAAATCTTGAGACTACGGAAAGCTCTGAAGGCTCCAGAAAAGACGACACACCTGAGGATTTACAAGTGAAATGGAAGCTAGAGAAGCGTGCTTCGGACACAACTCAGTGGATCAGTCTTTAATTAAAACTCAAAAGGTTTGAACAGAGAACACCCTAAATGAAAGGTCAAAGTTTCCTCTTGAAGAGGTTGATATCTCTGAGCACATATGTACATAACGTCTTTATAACGTGGTGCAAATAAAGGGAAATTATTACTCTTATCAATAGCAATGTTGTTCTGCGGATGGTTTTGAAGCTTGGTTCATTCCAGGACGACTCAGTTCACTCAGATTCGAGTTAAGGTAACAAACAGTCCAGTCCTACTTCCTCTGGATCAATAAAAATCCAACTAGTTGTAAAGGGTTCAACGAAACTTGTGTTTTATTCTATCCAGGTAAAAACCAGTTTCTTTCAGGGGGTCTGGGCTCCCAGCTGCTGAAAACCTTTGTTTCCTGGAGGCGTGGGCCGGGTTGGAGTTTTCAAATGTTCCCAATCACTAACGTTTGTCCCTGACGTTCACCATGCAACGGTTCAGTGTTATGAAGCTTACCTGCATTGTAAACAACCGACCTGCGCAACTTCCCTGGTGTAAAGACAGCATACTTTAGTATACTTAAGTATATTTTAAATATGCCATATTTTTCTGAACTACAGTTTTAGTGTGTTATCAAAGGGTATGCTGATTAAGATCATACTAAAAATGTCAAATAAATAAATTTTTATAAACATGCTTTGAGTACTCTTTTTAAAAATGTATTTTTGGTATACTGCATATATAATGCATATTGTAAATACACAATAATTTTCTCAAATAGGTTATATGGATATTTTTACAAATACATTTCAATATTATTTGTAAGTACTTTGTAAATAGTGTCTAGTAATTAGGCTCTATTATGTAATATTTCAAACTCTAGGTGTCTTAATAATATTTTACTATTTTGTTAAAAAGACAAAAACAAATGAACCTATCCTTTTAGTGGAACTTACTGTAACGTTTAACAAAGTAATAAATATTCTGTTCATGCCTCAAAACATGAAAAGATGACAGTTTAGTGATGGTTCTGCACCAAAAACATTGTTTGTCTTTAACACTGAATCTGTATGTTCAGAGTTACATCTCTGAATATGATCTTTTTTCTCAGTTCTTGAACAAAAACACGGAAGCTGCCTTTACACAATCCATTTTCAGAGGTAAATCCTCCTTCTGTTTATTCTGCTGTGAGCCGGCAGAAGATTTACTGATGATACTTTGTAAAAGGTAAACCTCAGTGGTGCTTTTCTCTTAAAAATGAACTATTGTTGCTTTTCTATTATACAAAGCCAGAAAATTCTTGGATTGGAAGCATTTTCTTCACATAGAAATTTAATTACAAAGATTACATGTGTCCAATTGACTTTTCTGTGAATTGGACACATGAGGCACCATGACAGGAAATGGGCCGAAGACAGAAGTGAAAGACATGCAGCAAGTGGTCCAACACTGGGAATCAATCCCAGTACCACCAGGTTGAGGGTTGTACTCTTTCCACTGACTGAGCCACCCAGAGCCCCTGAACTTCCTGCTTTGCCAGGTTGCCACATGTGAGAGCTTTCAGGTTATTTGTTGGATTAGATTATCTGATGATATGAATCATCATTCTGAGAGTAGATTGCAAAGTGAAAATAAAACTGTGGCCGGAAAATATTCAAATAAGTGTTTCTGCATAGCTCTCTTTTGGTTTTGGTTGGTGTGTGTATGAAAATTATTTCCCATCACTTTGAAAACAGATTTGACAGACAAAATAAAACTGGCTCAAAATCTATTTTAACGTTTGAAGCAGACATGGAAACCAGAGCTATAAGCAAAAGCTGAGCTACTTTACTTAACAATTTTTACCACATGATGTTTTACCACTTCCTCTTTATTAGGTGCTTTAAAGGATGTGTGTGTGTGTGTGCGTGCGTGTGTGTGTGTGTGTAGGTAGGCGTGAACTTGCGGGAATGTGTGTACTTACCTGTGGGTAGGTGTATGATTTGTTTTCTTACTAACGCATTAAATACCTACAAATACCTGACACTTCAGGTTTGCTCTGTTTCCGTGGCCATAAAAAGAATCCGGAACAAGTTCACCTGTAATATGATAGACACTGAAACCACCCAGAGCAGCTCATCCATACACTGACACTTCTTCAGAAAACGTACCAGAGAGAGGCTCCACATATCACGTTTACAGATAAGATCTACACATTTATTTATTGATTTATTTTTGTTTTCTTCCCTCCTTTTTATTTCTGAAGTTTTGACCGACGGTTTTTCACACAAATGGGAACCAAGTGGCTCATTATATGGAGCGTTGCGATCACTTTATTTCAGGTAAGACTTCCTCTTCTCATCTCATCCTAAGTAATATCCGTTGTTTATTAAACAAATTTTTGTTTAATAAAATGTAAATCTTTTTCAGCCATTTTTTCTCTCTTTTACTCGTTAGAACGGTTGGATTTTTTTCAAGTATGCTTTAATATTTTCTTTCTTTATGTCCTTGCAATAGTAAATTATGTTGTAAAAACATCTATTTGTTGTAATTTCATTTAAAATAACGTATTACAAATTCATCACACATGGTTTGCTGTGAACTAGCAGCTTCAAAGGAAGTTCATGGTAAGATGATTTTCAATAGAAGTTCAGTAAACTCACTGCGTTGTTGGATAATATATCCGTTGATAAAATCTTTTCAACTGTATGATAGAAGGGTTATATAATGCTTCTAAAATGAAAGGAACTTGTTTATTTCAAATGAACTCAGTTATCAGATAAGGGAGTCATTTCCTTTTGACTCATTTAAAGGTTCTGGTCTGACATTAGTACTTGTCCTTTTACGTTTTAATAAATGTTCTGAACAAAACATTTCTTCCTGCCAAAACAGCAGTTTCTATATTTTCTTCTTACTGTTTAAATATTTTCTAAAGACAATTTCAAAACTGTTTTTGATTTAACATTATTCCATTCACTGCCAAATATGTTCAGGTTTCAATGAATGAGGTTCCACAGCAACAAACAGCTTGACAGTGTTTCCTTCTTCTCGTTCAGGTCTCAGCAGTCGGTTCTGCAGAGGAGTCATCATGTGTACCTGGTTTTGAGTCCAAGTTGTTGATCTTGAATGTGACCAAAAAGCACCTGAGACACGGCACAATACTGGGCAAAGGTGAGAACGTCTCATCAAGTCACTCTTTCATGCTCACATTCTCAAAATGGTCTCAAAGTTGATTTCCTATGAACTTTTCTCTGGATTAGCCTGAATTATAAGCAGGCAATCATTAGGAAATCCGTCAATCTCACGTTCTCAGGTGTTACTTTGCACTGCTGAGGCTTTAATGCTTCCTCCGTCAGGGTGAAGCATGTCCCCAAACCTGATTTTCAGGTTTTTCCTTTAAAGATGTCAGCTGCGGTAGCCCCAAGCAACAAGCATCTGAGAATGTGTCATGAAATGGTGGTGAGGCTGACGCCATGAGACCCAGGATAGGTGGAAATGGTGGTTTAATGGTGACAAGTCCAAAAACACAAACCGCAGTAGGTCCACAGCCAGGCAGCACGGTTGAGCGGAAGCCAGGGCTCAGTACCGGTAGCACTAGTGGACAGAACAACACATGCCAAAAATGAGACGAGGATCTGAAGAGAAACAAAGGACACAGGGGATTAAATACACAGAGAGTAATCAAGGGGAAGACAGGACAACGAGGAGACGAGGACGCAGAAATCTCTAAATATAAACACAGAGAAACACGGAACATGACAGAATCTCCATATAAGCTCTCCATATGTACTAACAACCACTAGACAGTTATTTCTTGAATTATCACTTAGCCAATTATTTTTTTGCTTACACTTTTTCTCCAAAATGAACAGACATGCACTCTACTGTACTTGGTGTGGTAGAGTTTGTTTATGATGGAAAGCATTTCGCAATCTCTTTATTGAAATGGTCATGCGTTGAAATGATAAAGCAGACAGACTGCTGTTGTCTTTCTGGTTGGTGTAGAAGAAGTGAGAGCTTCTTCCAGAGCTCCTTTAGCTGGAAATCCTTTCATCATTCCTGTTCCGGCACATTGTTGTCTCAGACTCTTCTGTACGTTTCCACGCGCATGATCCTTATTTCAGATGTTGAGTTTCTGTGGTGTGTACTGGTTGAACAAGTTTTAAAAAGAGAGCATGAAGTGAATCATTGGAAGTCAAAATTGGAAATCAAAAGAAGAAGGAGCTCATTTTAATTTAGTGAATTGCTGGAAGGTTTTCAGAAACCTGATTATGTCACAAATACCAGCATTAACTCAACATCGATGTGTATTTGAATCCCTTTATCAATTAATACTATGATCATTTATTTTTATTTTAATTCTGATATAATCATTTCCAGTTCCCAGTAGCAGTTTCTAATGTACATACTTAACATTTTGTTATTTTGTTGATTTCCAGTTGGCTTCACTGACTGCACAGGTCGCACCAGATTCCCTTTCAGCTCTGATGACAACCGTTTCCTGGTCCGGCCAGATGGGATTTTAATGGTGAGTACAAACGGGCCGAACCCAGACAATATATAATCATCTAGAAGCCTTCAAATAACTGGATTATAATCTGTGTTAATTGAGCACTCCTGGTGTATTTCGATTAAAAAAATAACTTGTACAATATAAAACTTACAATATGTTTAATTGCCAGGATAATTTTGTGTCCAGGCAACGTTAATTATTATTAGTGTGTCATTCTTAGCTTTCTACTATTTGAATATATTCAGCATTTTGTTATAAAATATAACTTTTACTCATTAGTTGTGGAAACCATGTCATTAGTTTGACCATGCTCAAAAATATTCAAACTCTAAGCATAACTTTGATTTCATAACATAGTTTCTCAAATGACACAGGGATGTCCCTAAAGAGAAAATATGTTCCAGATATGTTTTTGTTATTGCAACAATCAAATATTTTAGAAAAAGCATGTTAAAGCTGCAGTATGTAAGCCTGTATTTTGTGACAGCTTGGTATCACTTCTCTGTTTTTCTCCGCCTGCTCCCAGTGCTCCCAGTGCTATTCAGAAGCAACCAATCAGAGCCAGGAGGCAGAGTTTAGTGCTGTCAATCACAGTCACTCATAGTGCTGCTCTGACCTCCCTTCCCATCCCTCGCTCTTCCCTTTGCCCTCTGCAACACTGCAGCTGTCAGAGACTGACTGTAGTGAATATTCATGCTAGTTGGACATTGATGATGGTGGATAAAAGGTTTTCCGCCGCTCATTTAAGCACATTTAGTAGCTTAGATGAGGTTTTTTTCTGACAGTGCAAAGGCCTGCCGCTCACTCTGATTGGTTGTTTTTGGATGGATGGATGGATGGATGGATGGATGGATGGATGGATGGATGGATGGATGGATGGATGGATGGATGGATGGATGGATGGATGGATGGATGGATGGATGGATGGATGGATGGATGGGATGGATGGATGGATGGATGGATGGATGGATGGATGGATATTTCCATAAACATTACAGGATGCAGCTTTAATCAAGATTATACTCACATCTATCTCTGTGTTAAGTATGAAGAATTTTGATCCTACCTCCATCATTCCATCTCAAGAGTCCCAAGAGTCTTTAGTTGGTCTAATCAGTCCCATACCTTTGCCTCAGTAGACCGGCGGTGTGCCCTGGTTCCTTTAGTAACACTGAGGGGTTAATATAAGGTGTAAAAACAGTGTTTCATTTTGAAATATTTTGAATTGTTTCCATAGAGTTAGTTTGGGAACCCAGACTGGTAGAAAAGTTGTCCTAATCAAGAGTCCCATGAACTCGTCTCGGCTGGGTTCCTGGACACTGAGTTAATGACTGTGGTTCTTGGCCTGATCCAGGTGAAGAGACGGGTCGTTCTTCAGGAGGGGAACCAAAGCTTCTCTGTCCACTCCCTGAATGCACGAGGTCAGAATCTGAGTCTTCCTGTCATGGTTTTGTACCGACGGATTCACCACAGGAACGACGAGTCACTCGATCACAATGAAATAAGTTCCACCGGTCACATAAAGGTAGGCGTGGAGATTCCTAAAGTAATTCAGTTCCCTCAGGTTAAAGTGAAACAATTCATGTTCATAGTTCCCAGCTCAAAGCTTGAACATAACCTAGTGGTTCTTCATCCATCGCTTTATCTCAGCTAAGTCTGAACGCATCAATTGTCATTACGGAGCGTTTTCACCTAAAAAATAATTGTTAGGACAATTTGTTTTAATAGAAGTTTCATATAACTTAGAAGTTGATGTAAAAATAATGTGTTTTTTAGCTACATAAATTATCTTGCTCAGCAGAAAATGAATATATCACCAACTGCACCTTTCGCTAGACAATGTCAAATATTTATACGTTTTAATTATTGTCATCAAATGTTATCCAACACATCGTTTTGAAGGAAAAAAACTGAAATATTTCGGGCCAACACTTAGAAGTTAAAGCTCAGTTTCACACAAATACAAAGATGCTAGAACTGGACTAGCCCTGTTGAACTGGACCGTTCATGTTGCTATCAAGCTGTTTCTATTAGCATTACATTACCAAGACACATGAAAACAAACCTTTATCTATTCTAATATTCTTCCTCTTTCTCTTCTCGCTCTCTGAAGGATAAATCCTTTTTTGACATTGTTTTGCTGACTTATCTCCCACGGGAGCTTTGGAGGTTTGGGTGCACATTGCACTGCAGCTCATGTCACCGGTAAATCGTGACCTACCGCGACCTCCAGAAGGTTATATTGCAAGACAATTTATTTTTTTCATTTTTCTTGTTGTCCATATAAAAGTGACTTCTACATACATTATCAAATATATAGAGAGAATTTTTGGCTGTGCTTCAAAATGGCTGTTCACAGCCAATCCCCACCAACCTGACAGAGTGTGAACAGTTTCAAAGGAAGAATGGAGTAAATTTGCTGCCTCCAGATGTTAAAGTCTGATTGAAAGTGATCCACACAGGCCCCCCAAGACATATTCTGCTCAAGGCCTCATGCAGCCTTGGACCGGCCCTACATGAGTTAAATCCGCTGCACTGCAACGGGAGATTTCATTAAATACTGCTAATGTGACTTTAGTAGCTCTTCCATTTTGTGTCTGTTGAGTTTTTAACTACAGTCACAGAAAATGTTTTGGTTGGTCGAGTTTATGGGACGGATTTCTCTTTTTGTGACAATGTTAAAATATGGAAATTTCATGCAGGGATACTAAGTCCACTAAGTCTGCTGAGTTTTTGTTTAAACTGAACCATAATAAAAACAGAGATTACAATAGACTGACACAGCGCTTCACTGCTAAATAGAAGTGAATACTTTTTGTGGGACTGTACTTGTACAAACCTCACACTACCAAGGAGCTGTGTTGTGTTGAACAAATGCTTTTTAAAGCAGAGATGTTTTTTGTGAAACACTGCCACTTTGTGGCTATATTTAACATTTTCTCCTTCCATGCTTTTTTTTTTTTGTACTGTCTTCAAGTCCCACATTTCTTTTCATGACTGGTTCATTTGAACTTCTGGCCCAGAGAAGATTTATATTAAGAGCTTCATAAGAAACTTTATTGTGTTAAATTTGAAATCGGGATGCATTTGTATTTCTGGAAGCCATTTAGTTTTAGTAGTTTACTGATTAAATTGTATTTGTTTCCACAGGTTCCCATTCTGTATTTCCCAGAATCGAATCCAGGACTGAAGAGGATAAAGAGAGCCTGGTCTATCCCTCCCATTAGTTTTGCTGAGAATAGCAGAGGACCATATCCCTATTCTCTTGCTCAGGTGGGAGAAATTAAAATGCATAGAGGTGTAGTTTTATTTATTTTATTTTATTTATTTGTGTATGAGTGAATGATATGGAAAAATGGCATTCAGTGTAATTTTCTTTCCTCTTTCAGTTATACCTTGTATTTTAAGATGTATTCCTCTATTTTTGTGTGTGTTTTGTTTAATGGTATTTGAATATAACCTTGGTCTCTGTTGTCCAGATTCGCTCTGATGAAGATAAAGTGAAGAAGATCATTTACAGCATCACTGGTCCTGGAGCTGATCAGCCTCCTGTTGGTCTTTTCACCATGGATAGAGACACTGGTCATCTGTATGTCACACAAGGACTGGACAGAGAAACAGGACAAGTACAGGGTCAGTGTTTTGTGTTAGATCTTTAATCCTGACACTTTTCTATTTGCTGTTTGTTAAAGAGGCTAGTTAAGGTAAGGTCATTTTATTTCTACAGCTCATTTTCAGCAATAAGACAGTTCAAAGTTCTTTACATGAGTTAGAAAGAAATACAAACAAAAGAATAGAAAGACCACAAAGAAAAACAAAATAGTATAAATTAGATGGTGGTTTTCCATGTTTGGTAAGATCAGTGAGGCATAAAACTAAATGTTGGTTCTCTGTGTTTATTCTGTAAAGTACATGGTACTAAATGTTGATCTAAGGCAGTGGTTCCCAAAGAGTTTTTGTCCCCCCCTATGGATTACAGTGAATTCATAGGGATTTACTGGGCACACACATCCTTCAACCAGACATAAACCTTTACACATATTTGTTTCAAACTCCTCTAAAGTTTATTTCACACTTCGAAGTAACAAAACAACAAACCATCTTTACGGTGAAACACTTTTATGTAAGTTTTTGGGGTTTTTTCCATTCAGCCATGCCCCTCCCTGCAATGGTACTGCATGGGAACCACTGATCTAAGGTAATGAGTTAGGGGTTTCTTTAAGTTTGTTCTAATTCCCAGTTTGCTCTGGTTTGATTTCTGTTCTGGGTTGAGTGAAATATATAAACTAATAAGAATAAATAATTCCTCATTTATAAACCAGTAGAGGGTTCTCTGGATTCTTGTTAAGACTGATTAAGACTCATTTTCTGAAATAATTCTCAAGTCTACAAAAATACTCAAATTGTTTGCCATCTGTGATTAAATATATTGGAAAAAAGTTTATAAAATGGAAAAATGAAATATACCTTATATGCACCATAAAACTAAAGTGGTCATATTGTGTTCATATGTTGAAATGATCATTTTTTACAGCTTCAAGCTCTTGCCAAGACACAGGCTGGTACAAATGCAGAGGCTCCTACGGATATTGTAATCAATGTAATTGACCAGAATGACCAAAAACCTGTTTTCAATCAATCTACCTATAATGGAGAAGTTCCAGAGACCGCGAAAAAAGGTAAAGTTCCAGGATTCAGATAATGAGCATGCAAAAAGAAAATGTTCTACTTTATGGAAACAAAATTGTTAGTTTGCTTTGAACTTTTGGCAGAATCCTTTGAACAATTTTTAAACTATGTATAATTGGTGTATGTAAAGGGAGCTATTATGAAAAAAAAACTTTTGCACAATTTTGTACTTCTACTTCGGTCTTAACCAGAGATTGAGCTAGATTTTTTCACTGATCGTTGTTTCGAAGGACAGCAGAAAAAAGTCTAGCTGTCCGTTTAGCTGACAGACTGTCCATCTGTGAATGTCACAGCAGTGACAAAACCAACTTGACGCGCAGCTGTGGAGGCAACACACAGCTGCACACAGCAGCAATCCCACTGTGTGCACAGGACAGTGACGTTTCATTTTTTCTGTGACGCTTTCAGCAGTGCCAGATGAAATTACACAATTGCCAATGGACACAGTTTCAGACTCTTTTTTCTGTTGAAGTGTCAAGTACATGATTAGCATCTTCTCCATTGCAGTATTGGTGGTTTCATCTGCTGCTTTTGTCGTTTTAATGGGGATAAGATTTCATATTCTTTGGTTTTCTTGGAAGCCTGTTCACAGTGGGTCATCACGATAACTCTCGAATCGGAAATCAAAGTGTCTGCTTTTAAAAGTCATTACGACGCTGGTTAAGCACAACACACATATGAAGACCTTCGTTCTCAACTCAGTTGTCGCAGGTTCAATTCCTGGCCTGGTGACCTTTGTCGAATGTCTTCCCCACTATCAAGGCCACAAGAGCCTTTAAAAAAATAATTACAGTACTACATGTTTTAAAATCAAGTTGGTGTTTCTTAGTAGATCTTGCCGAAGTCTTAATAGCTGCTGCTCTCACTGTTGTTCATCGTTTTCTCTTGATTAGGTTTTGAGGTGATTAAGGTTTTGGCCACAGATGCTGATCAGCCAAATACTGACAACTCTGATATCAGGTACCGTATAATGAGTCAGACTCCAGAGGAGCCCAGTCCCAACATGTTTAACATCAACCCAATAACTGGACTCATCATCCTCAACCAAGCTGGACTGGACCGAGAGGTGATAACAGTTTTGGCCCATTTGACTAAAATCAGAATTAGGCTTCAGTTGGCGTGTATTTTCTAATGAAACGCACGGATTTGGAAAAATGATGTAGAGTTTCAAAAGCAGAAGTTATTGTCAAATTGCTGTTTCAGTCAAATCTCTTTGATGTTTGAAACTTCAAATTAAGATTAATGTGGTGTATTTACCCCCATGATTTACCTGAGTTGGTACAGTCCTTGTATTCTGAGACATGCAACTTCTCTCTATGGTTATCACAGATATAACACAACAATAAAGATAAATGGATATAGACTGAGTCTCCTCTGTTTTATTAAGACAATACTATTAATTTCTCATAGTTCTAATGATACCGTTTTGATTGATTTAAAGAAATAAAAGTGCAGTGAGAGCTGCTGTGCTCTCCTCCCACTCAGAAACATTTTCAGGTTGTCGATCTAACAGCAGCAGAGCAGAGAGGAAACCCACTCTGTTCCATTTGCACCTTGCAATAAAATCACTCAAACACAAAGCTGCCAGTAATCCTGCTCTGAATTACAGTAACAAATAAATTTATACATATGCTATTGACATTTAATCATATGCATGCTTGAGTAATATAGAGAAAAAATAGTAAGTAAATGGGCAAAATGCTTGAGTAAAATGGTGATTTCTATTGGTTTAACTAAATCATGCTCTAACTGGATCATTTCACAATTCAGTCTTGTCAGGCATTTAAAAACAGATCATTCAATAATTCCCAAGAATAAAAAATCCCAAGAAACAAAAAGTTACAATATTATTCTTAAATATTGTGACTTATCATGATGATATTTATCTTATAATTAACTGAGGTTGACATGAAAAGACAAGTCTTTTTTTTTTAAGTATGTCAACAGCAGTCTTTATAAGTTAGTTCTTCATTTGAATTATTAATTATTAGTTGGGCAATAGTATTGTCCATCATTTCCACACCTCTCCTGCAGTGTCCTGTATCAGATTCTATGTTCTCTGCTTTAAGCAGAGACGTTTCTCAGAATGAGTTGTTTGTTGGAACCTAAATACTTTCTATGCTAAGTTTTTCTTAAAAGCTCTGCAAGTGATAAGAGGATTGAAATAGTGTTGAGTATTTTAGGAAGCTAATTTTCTACACTTCAGTGACAACTAAAAGTATCTTGTTTAACTAAAGTCAACATTTCATTTCATTCAACAGAAAATTCTCTGTACACACTGGATGTTCAGGTAGCTGACATGAAAGGAGAAGGTTTGACTGGATTTACCAAAGTGTTTATCAAAGTGATGGACAGCAACGATCACGCTCCAGTCTTTACGGAGGCCTCTGTGAGTAAAACTGCTTTTACTAAAACCTTTTGTTTATTTGTTAACGGATGGCTTTGAATGAAAGTCTCTGCTTATAAATTAGTGGCACTTAAAATGTTAACTTTTTGTAAATAAAGCAAACTACCTTACAGATTTAAATCTTTTCATATTTTTAAAATATTTTCTGTTTTGTCCAAAAAAACATCTTATTTTTGAAGTAGAACAGCCCAGCATGTTCAATATTTTTCAAAAATTAACAGCGAAGTTGAATCCTTTTCATGTGGATGTTCTAGCCTTGACCAGGTCAATAATTAATTGATGTTCATGCATTATTAAATTTTGGAGTAATAAGAATTCAAATGGACGCTCTTCACATTTGTGATGCAAAATGGTACATATTTGTCAAAAAAAAAAAAAAACAAACATACTTTTTCTCAAGGTAAAAAAACAAAATATGCAGTATTTTTAACATCACCAAATCATTCCATATATTTACTGATGGCCTCCCCTGTAGGCTAATCTTGCAGGATTAGCTGCAATACGTCTGTAAAGAGAGATGAATATTGTCAAAGGCCTGCAGATTCTGGCAAGAGAGAAATCCTGGAGTGAAAATATGAGGAGAAAAATGTTTTATCTCCATGGAGATTTCCCATCATCCATTGCTTCTTCCTCCTCTCAGCTGCAAAGTCCTCCATTGCCAGGCTGCAAATCCTGCCCCTCAGATGAATTTTGACTTCTGCTCATATTTACTTCACACTTCATCCTCATTATCCTCAGACTTGTATTCTGGTAAAATCGTCTCCTTTGCATCATTTCCATCTCACCAGGACTATTTGTTTGGTGTTCAATATCTTTATTGCTGTGCATTTTGGAAAGTTATAGAACCATTTTCCCTTCTGAAAGTTGATCAAGTAAATGAGCGAGGTCAAGTTAATATTAGGGAGGTCATCACGCACAAAACAAGTTTTTCTTGTATTTTGAAGACCGAATCTTGGATTAGTTTGGTTTTCATTGAAAATGTCCACTGAAAATATGTGGTTATAATAGCAGTCAATGGGATCAAAATGGGACAGGAGGTTTTAAATGTACACAAAGTGCTTATCTTATGTTCTGCATACCTTATAATCAAAGGGACAATTATTTTTTAAAAGAAAATTTAAAAAGTCTTGACCAAGTTTCATAGAATTAACTTTTAATCTGACCGAGATGCTGAGAATTAAAAGAAAAAGCAGTATAGCAGAATGTCTCATTTTAGTCAAGAATCTGCAAGGGTTAAAGGGTTAAAGGGTTAAAGGATGTGTTGTGTAGATAACTATGTATATATGCAAATGTGTAAAACAATTTGGAATTCGTTGTGGTGAGCAACCTTAAAAATGTCTTGTCTCCTCTCAGTACACGGCCACAGTTGAAGAGAATAAAGTAGACGCTCTAGTTGTTAAGATGTTGGTGACAGACGGTGATGAGCCTCAAAGCCCAGCCTGGAATGCAAAGTTCAAGATCATTGATGGAAATAAAGAAAATCTGTTTACTGTGGAAACAGGAACAAACAAACAAGAAGGAATCATCACTACTGCTAAGGAACAGGAACAGGAACATTGTTGGACCAAATGTAGTTTTTTCAAAGTATTTTGTTTTTAAGCAAAATTCAGTGACCCTGAAGTTCAGCCTGAGCTGTTCATGCCTGAGTTAATACTGAACCTTTCTTCCTCTAAACCATGTGGTTTTAGGGTCTGGACTTTGAGAGAGTCAGTAAGCACACTCTGCTGGTCACCGTGGTGAATGAGGAACCTTTCGCTGTTTCATTGATCACTTCCACTGCTACAGTGGTGGTGACTGTGGAGGATGTCAATGAACCTCCCATCTTTGCTCCAAAAGAGGAACGGGTTTCTAAACCTGAGGATCTTGCTGTGAACAGCACTGTGGTGCGGTACACAGCTTCTGATCCAGACATTGGACGCAAACAGAAAGTCATGTAAGGAACCTGAAAATCCTCCACCATGAAGAGTCACAGCATGCATATTTTACATTTATGTTGTAGATAAGTAATTTCTTTTCTTGATCACACAGCTTGCAAAGTCCTGCTTTGTGTTATTTACATTCATTTTTGTGCTTGATGTTCAGGTATAAAATACTCAAAGACCCAGCTGGCTGGCTTCACGTTGAGAGGGACACTGGTGTGATAAAAGTGAGAAAAGACATGGACAGAGAATCTCTATTTATCAAAGAGGAGAAATACACAGTCCTGATTGGTGCATATGATGATGGTAGGTGTGAGGATTCATTGATTTGTACAGCAGCAGCTACATTTTGGAATCAAATGTGAAGTCAATCCTAATTGAATAGCTTCATTTAGATGGTCGTCTGTGAGCTGAAATCAAATGTACAACCTCAGAAGTTAAGGGTCCTCCACGTCTGTAGTCTTAGGAAGCCTTTTCCTTTGCTTTGTGGGACTTCTCTCTGGAAGAATCACAAGTATTGCAGTTTTAGATTTCCTAACCTTGTCACAAGAGTCTCAGTAGATTGTCGAAGCCATCTGTGTGATTGCTCACGATTTCCTGACCCACGTCCGTCATCTCACCAGATCAGAACCCAGCTACCGGAACCGGAACTTTGATTATCAAGCTTGAAGATGTGAACGATAACGCCCCCAGCATTGTTGAGCGTGAATTTGAGGTATGTCAGCAGGGTTAGGGGGTTTCGTTGGCTGCATATTTTCCAGGCAGATAAAATCAAGTGGAAATCTTTGTTTATTCTTAAAGTACTTAAAATGACTTTTATTTTATGTTTCTTCTAATCTCTACTGAATTTTCAAACTAAAACAATGATCAACACCAGCGTCATGTACTCATGTGATTGACAACAAGTAGTTACTCAGAACCAATGCCACTTTTGTTCTGGGTGTTTCCTCTTGAGTTGGGTTTGAACAAACCAGATACCAGGTGTTGGTAACAGACCAACAAGAAAAGAAATACAAAGAAGAAAAGAGAAATTAGGTGGCAGGACGAGGTCAAAATAAAGATATTTGAAGATAAACATGGCAGATACTAAAATAAATTTAATTTCGTTATTTATTTCCTCATTTTTTTACTTATTATTTTGTATGCCACGCAGTAGTTTTGTTTGTGTTTTTCAATGTTTGTTGTGATGTACAGTATAAGTACAAACTTATTAACTACTCTGCAGTGGTTCTTAGAATCTTTAAGTACCTGAACTGAAGCAGTAGTACTTTGTACTCGGCCTGGAAAAAAGCCTGCTGTCGGCTCATGCCTGCTTACATATGTGCTGTAGCACATTCATATTCACCAGGGTTTCAAATCCATTTCCCCCCCTCCCCAGATGTGTAACAAGAAACCAATTCCTCATGTACTGAATGTAATGGATAAAGATGGAACAAAGTTTACTTTTCCATATGCTGTCAGCCTGCGGGAGGCTTCAAAGGCTAACTGGACCGTTGAGATGAACGCGTCTGGTATGTTTACCCTTTTATATTAATTACTAATTATACTGATTACAAAGTTGTTCCTGAGAACAGAAAATGATCTCAACAAATTGAAAAACGTACCTCTTTCATAAATCGTCTCTTCAGTGCTAAGATGTCGATCGATCTGCTCTGTGACCCACTGAAGGTTTGTGAGGGCAGAGTCTCCGGCTCTGGTCCTCCAGGCTCACCACCCTGCAGGTTTTAGGTGTTTCCTTGCTTCAGCCAGGGCGATCTCAATTCATAGGTCTTTGCTGAACTGCAATTGGCTGAATCGGGCGGAGGAAAGCGATGAGTCGTCTCCAACATTCGGGGCCTTGAGGGCCGGAGTTGGGAAACACTGACAGGGGACGCAGAAGTTTTGAAGGACCTGCTTTAGTCCGTTCATAAATAACACAAAGTGTCAAATAAATGACAGCTGGATGAAAAATACGGTTGACTTGGAGCAGGATAATGAGTCACAGCAGATCAGGAGGATCCGGATCAATCCACTTAACATCCTGTTTTTTAGATATGCTAAAACATGATCCATCAGTTTTTAATTGAAGTTTTTGTTTGGGTTTTTTTTTTTTTTCAGCTAAAACCGATGGGTCCCTTCTAACTCACTGTTTCTGCTTTTCCGCTGTTCTTTAGATTATATGTTTTCTGTTTGTTTTTGTTTTTTTTTTTGCTTACAGGCACAGGCATTATCGTGAGATTAAAGCCTAAGATTGCAGAAGGAACCTACAAAGTGGCCATGAGTGTTTCAGACAACCAGGGTCTGTCACAGGTCAGCACGGTCACAGCTAAAGTGTGCGACTGCACTGGAACACCAATCTGCAAGAGAGGAGAAGCAAAAGTTGCCAGCTCCAGTTCTTGGGTCATTGCTGGAGTTCTTTTATTGGTGCTGCTGGGAACTGGTGAGTTTTAAATGTTTACTTGCAGACGGATAGAGAAATTTTAACCATGAAACACAAAATAACAACTCAGAAAAAAAACGACCAGATTCAGTGATGCTGAACAAAAAGCAAGCAAGCAGGATCTGAAAATTATAATCACAAGTACTGGATAAAACAGATAGTATTTATATTTGATGTTAAATTACAGACCCGTTCAATAAATTTCAATATTGATGAAAAGTCAGTTCATTTCAGTAACACCATCACCAAGAGAGACACATTGAACAGAGGCTGATGTTTTCGCACATCGTCACAATATTTAAAATGAACATATTACAAGAAACCAATAACACATCGTTTACTGTTTGTGCTCCTGTTTTTAGTGATTGCCTTGATGATGTATTTAAAGATGAAAGGAAGAAATGAAGATGGAGTAAAAGATGAAAGAAGTGAAGATGATGACAGGGATGAGCTTATTTTTTCTAATGAAGAGGGAGGTGGAGAGAGCATTCAGCAGGTGAACAGTGACACGTCTATTCAACTGACACATGACATGTTACATTTGTTTAAAATCCACAATAAATTGTGCTTACAACATAGTAATAACTGAAAACCTTTCGTCTTGCCATATTTCTTAACAATTCAAGTGGATGATTGCGGATTGGAAAATAAGCCAATACGTGTCTAACAGTGATCCTCCCTCTCTCTGTCAGGATTATAATCAGAGCATTCTCCACTTTGCTCTGACCAACAAGTCTGACATGTCCAAGACCATCATGGCTCCTCCTCTTGAAAGCAGCCCCCAGTACCGACCTCGGCCCACCAACCCAGATGAGATCAGGGACTTTATCGACCATGTGAGTGAGAAATAAGAGCAAATGTTTCCCTTTGTGTTGCATCTAGTTTCAAACCCCAGATTTCTTAACTTTTGCCTTTCATAATTCAGAACCTGAAGGTGGCGGATACAGACCTCACTGCTCCCCCCTACGACTGCCTGCTGGTGTTCGATCTGGAAGGAGACGGTTCTGAGGCAGAAAAACTCTCGTCTGTACTCCTCCAGCGACGGAGACCAGGACTACGATTCCCTCAGAGAGTACGGCCCTCGCTTCAAGAAACTGGCCGACATGTACGGAGGAGGAGATGATGATGACATGATGTAAATGAACCCACACTGTGAGAAAAATGCCTGCATGCATGCAGTCCAACTGTGACAATGTGTGAAATACATAATCTGTGTGACAATATGTGAAATCAGTCGTATTTTTCCTCTTTTAGCTGTTCTTCATTCGGATCTTCAGGTTAAACCTCACATTAGTTTTAGTTCTTCATTTATGATTCTGTTCTTTGTTAGACATGCAAACTTGAAAGCTCAGTTGTGGAGAATGTAACCAATATAGTAAGTACTATGTATCTTTTTTTATCATTATTTGTTATTAATCTTTCCATCAGTGTTTATTTTTTCAATACATTAGATCCATGCGACGTTCTTCAGCCATTGTGTCATTAGCAAGAGTTGATGAGATTGTTTTTGTTTGTTTTGCACAAAAAAAGATGTCTGCAATATTTGAAGATAAGACAAATGCTTTTTAATATTAAATTCTTTATGTCTTTATTCACTGGCTCTGTGATGGTCTTTATGTTTATTAGAGTGATTTTGCTCTTTTTAATGCATAGTGACTATAATAAATGTAGTACATTTCTATAGTTATGCATGCAGTCATTTTCAATACGTTACACTTTTGAAAGTCCATTTATTTTAGTAACAAATAAGTGAGAGATTTATTCCAAAGTGACTGCTTTCAAACCCGCATTTCATTAATGATGATTTTCTGCTTACAACTGATGCAAAGACGACAATTTAGATCAGAATATTGGAAATATCAATGAAAATGTCATTTAATGAAACACCTGCTTAAAGCTCCTGCTTAAAACTTAATACAGTGCCTTGGAAAATTAACACAAGGTGTTTCAACAACAGAAAAACAAATCAGGCAAAATTAAACAGAAAGCAAACTAAAAAATATATATATATGGTTTATACAGGAAGCCACTGGGTCAGCTGATCTCAAAGGAAGGAACCTTTTAAATAGAGAAGTGAAAAATCTTTACTGGCATTAAAGCAATAAACCTTTTGTTACAGAGGCTTAGCATGTTTTTGAATGTTTTACTGATTTATCTAAAGAGCTCCAGGTTTTCAGGGCTGAATTGTCTCCTTACCATCACCCTAATCTTATGCTCTCTCCACAGAAGCTCTTAGAGATTCCCTCATAGATTACAGATGAGCCTCTCCAAAAATGTTAATATTACGTGGCAGTATAGAAACATGATGGCAAATTTTGAGGTGTACCTTAAAGCTTGTGCACATGTTGCTGTCCAGTGTTTGCTCAGTGGCACCAGCAACGCAGAAAACAAAACATAAACAAACATAACAAAGGTTAAAAGTTTTCAGAAAAGCTTTAAAAAGCTTGCAGAAAGCCAAGTCCCCAAATAGTGAGGGCAGAGGAATCAAAAACATCTTTGACCTCTCAACAATAGGTCATTACAAAGATCGAAATCAAACTAAAACAAAATATCCCAACAACCACAAAAATGTCACTACAGACACGTTTAAACGCACGGAGCAATTGTATTCAAATGTACCAAACGTGTACAATTGTTTTCATCCTGTTCTCCATTATTGTCAGGCAGTTCCTGAAAGTGGTTCCCCTTCAGTCAGATATTCGTATTCCGGGTCTTGCGAGTCGGAATCGCCTCCCTTACAGTCCAACACCAGCAGGATGATTCAAATGGGAAGCAAAGAAGGACAAAGTTAGTTTAACATGGAACAGGTTATCTATAGAACTGATGCACATTTTTTTGTTTAGTTTTCACAACGATTAATGCTGGTTGTCTTCAGAAAAGTTTGTGAAAGGAGAACAATAGCATTGCTGGGTTTTACTTCACATACAGGATGATTGCAGCTGAAGAAACTAAACAAGATCAAGAAAAAATATTACATTATTTTGTTTTTTTCCATCCATTGGCTTATGTCGTTTATGTCGTTTAGAAGAGTCTCCTGGGCACATGGACCTTTTCCCACTAACAGTTCAGACTTACACTTTGTTCACGACTCATATTGTCTAAAAGATGTTTTTGCTGAAAGCCTGCATCAGATGTTCACCTGCATGTCCTCTCTGTCGTTCCTCTCCTCATCCTCACACATGTTGTCTGCCATGCTGAGATCTCTGAGTTCAACAGGTTCCTCCTCTGTTCTCCTTCGTCTCACAAACAGGAACGATGGCAGCCCCACCACTAAACGAAGAGCAGACCGTTTTAACCACCAAATTATTAAATCCCAACAAAATTCCACGAAGTTGGAAGTATCTTGGGTTATCGTTCACGAATGAGGGAAGAAGAGAGCGGGAGGTCGACAGGCAGATTGGGTTGTGACCAAAAGGACAAAGTTGCGGATACAAGCGGCCGAAATGGGTTTTCTCCGCAAGGTGTCTGGACTCAGCTCGGTCAACCAGGAGGGACTCAGAGTAGAGCCGCTGCTTCTTTAAATCAAGAGGAGCCAGTTGAGGCTCGGGCATCTGGTCAGGACGCCTCCCTGGACATTTACAGCAACCACAGTCACAATGGTATAGCAACACAATCAAATTTCAAACTCACTGATCAGCAGCACCATGATGGCCTTCAGTATTCCCAGGATGACTGGAGCGTCGGAGCCACCAACACCTTTCTCCCGACAGCTCACGTCTTTTCCAGCACAGTCACACACTCTGGCTGTGACTGTGCTGACCTGAGACAGACCTGGTTGTCTGCAATGCTCATGGCTACAGTGTAAACTCCAATCTCCAGCTCACGGTTTGAAGTCAGGATAATTCCTGTTCCTGCAAAATAAGAGAATGGCAGACATCAATTATGAGGAATTCCACCAGTTTTAAATATTGAGGGGTTTATTCACATCAGGAAAATGCTTAGATCATTCCTAACAGTTGAGTCTATGCTCATGGTCAGTTTCTATTTGTCAATTCCTTCCTCTTAGTTTTGATTTGTCATTGGCAACAGTTTCATTCATTGGCAACTTGATGTGCTCAAAGAATGAGCATGTTCATTGACGTGTTCATTCAAGAATGTGAATGAATTAGGGTTAGAGTCAGTGCTCAAAGAAAGAGTAGATTATACATACTGGTGATCATTCTGGCCGTCCAGTTAGCCTTCGCAGAGCCAACTAGGCTGACGTTGAATGGAGAAGTAAAGTATGGTCCATCTCTGTCTGTCACAGTCAGCAGCTGAGGAACTGGTGTCTTGCTACACACCTGTGGAAATCGACTAGATTTGAAACGTCCCCTTCAATACGGATTTATTTTTTATTTCCAAAGTTAACAATTTTGCATCAAGTATATTAAATTCTATTCTAAAGTTTAATATGTAGGACTTTTAAAAAAAAAAAAAAAAAGACGCACTGTGAATTTGCGTTCCTCAGTGGTTGGTGGGTTGTCATTGACATCCTCAAGATGAATAACCAGAGTTCCAGTTGCTGTCGGCTTGATCTGATCTGGTGAGATGACAGACATACAGCAGTAGCAGGAGCCGCTCTGGGTTCGGCCAAACTGACTAAACGTCTTAACTTTTCAAGAGCAGAGCAAATCATCAGCTGTCAGAATAAGTTTAAAGACCTCCAGGAAGTACAACTAAAAGGCAAGTATAATGTAAAGATAAACTTTTTTGAGCTTCAGCTCATGTTATAATGTGATTCCCTTCTCCAAACATACATGCAGGGTTGCTTTGATACTTTCATGTATGTTTGAGGAATCATTTAATCTCCCATGGCAACTACTTATGGGTGCCTAAAACACTGGCTCATGCAAAACACAGACTTCTTCCACTGAGCCCCTCCAGACTAGCAGTAGCAGCAATTAGCAGACACCTGGTGCTGCGGTTCATCAACTGAGCTCATCACACAAACTACTTCCCAGTCCAATGCTCTGAAGAACAGTTGTAAATGGCATAATGGAAATGGAAACCTACATTTTTGTTTTATATCCACGTCTAAGTTTCTCTCCTACATTTACAGAACAAGACTCACACCTACCATCATCATATGCACCAATCAGGGCTGTGTATTTGTCCTCCTTGACAAGTGGAGATTCTCTGTCCATTGGTTTCTCACTTTTATCACACCAGTCTCCTTCGCAACGTCAAGCCAGCCAGCTGGGTCATAGAGTATTTTATACCTGTAACAATAAAGACAAACCATAAAAACACGTTCAAACATCAATTCCAGCTTTTTGATGTGGGACAGTGTGATGTATGTTGGGACAGGAGACAAATATCCTCATATTTTAGATTTACAAACTTCTAATTTGCAGTTTTGTGTGTTAAACAACTTCCATGAAGTAATAAATCTGCCCATCTAGTTTCTTAAACAGACAGATTTGGAATATAACTTCTACAATATAACTTGGTTAAAATAGCTGTGTAAAAATGTGAAATTTCATTTTGTTTAAGTTCCTTACGTGACTTTCTGTTTGCGTCCAATGTCTGGATCAGAAGCTGTGTACCGCACCACAGTGCTGTTCACAGCAAGATCCTCAGGTTTAGAAACCTGTTTCTCTTTTGGATCAAAGATGGGAGGTTCATTGACATCCTCCACAGTCACCACCACTGTAGCAGTGGAAGTGATCAATGAAACAGCGAAAGGTTCCTCATTCACCACGGTGACCAGTAGAGTGTGCTTACTGACTCTCTCAAAGTCCAGACCCTAAAACCACATGGTTTAGAGGAAGAAAGGTTCAGTATTAACTCAGGCATGAACAGCTCAGGCTGAACTTCAGGGTCACTGAATTTTGCTTAAAAACAAAATACTTTGAAAAAACTACATTTGGTCCAATAGTCAGAACCTGTTGGACCAAATGTCCAACAGGTTCTGTTCCTGTTCCTCTTACCTTAGCAGTAGTGATGATTCCTTCTTGTTTGTTTGTTCCTGTTTCCACAGTAAACAGATTTTCTTTATTTCCATCAATGATCTTGAACTTTGCATTCCAGGCTGGGCTTTGAGGCTCATCAGCGTCCGTCACCAACATCTTAACAACTAGAGCGTCTACTTTATTCTCTTCAACTGTGGCCGTGTACTGAGAGGAGACAGAAGATGTGTAAGACAAGTTGTCAGACAGATAGCTCATTTTACCATCATTTATCATTTTATGTCATATGTACTTTAAGGACTCACTAATAGCAGTGAGAGTGATCTACTGTTTACTGATGTTGGAGAAATTGTGATATTATTAATCAAATATTTGTTATTCTCATGGATCTTTATAATGTATCTTTTCTTTTATGCTTTCCTTGTTTAATCTCATGATAGAATTAAGAATGTTTCTGTATTGTTGATTTACTCTGATTCCTTTCTCAGAAGGCCTCACTGGCGAAAAGCAGAGACAATAGTCTTCCTGCAGGGTTATCTCTTGATGAAGAGTTCTACTTCGTTTGAGTTGCTGGATTGCTATAAAACTGTCACTGTGAAGATTGACTGCATATTCTGTTTAACTTTGTGCCTGGAAGGAGATTATCTAGTGCAGAATAATCTGTGTGTTAGTTAGTGAATGACATTTGGCGCTGTAGCTGTGTG